GTACCAGAACTTCTAGGTCAAAAAAAAAGTATTACAAGTAGCTAGGAAAAGACAGAATAGGTAACATGGAATTCTTGTAAGAACTACTTACCACTACTCATCATTGATGAGAAATTAAAGAAAAGGCTGAAGTATTTCATGCTTAAGAAAAAAAAGCAAAACCAAAAAAAAAACTCCAAAAAACAAAGGAAAATAGCTTGTACCTACAAATAACTAGACAATTTTGAAAGTAATGTGTAAAATTTATTATATACATAAAAGGCAAGCATTATAAGAATGGTAATTCACAGTTTCACATAGATTCTTCTTTTTGTGTTCAGCTGTATGTTTGGAAATGCTCTTTTTTTTGGCATTTAAATTCATAGCAAAATCTTTTTTTAAAACAATCAAATATTATATGTCTGTTAACTAGAATGTAGAGTGTAGTGTATGAAAGAAAGTAATGGAAAGATAGGTTTGAGCTAAACTGTGTAAGGTTTTAAATGTCAGAGAGAGAAGGTCTGCATTGGATCCTAGAAGTAAAAGGGAGTTATTGGAGTCTAGTAAATAGGAAAGTGACATAGTCAGACTTATGCTTTAGGAATGTGGCTTTGGCACTATTGTAATAGAGCTCTATTTTTCTCTAGTTCATGGTATCTTTATAAAACGTGATAGTTTACTAGGGTAAAACTCACAAAAAATGAACTATTTCATGTATCATTTATAGAACAGAATTTAATAAAAATTGTAATAAAAAAGTAACTATGAACAAAGGACACAGACTTAAATGGAGACAAAATAATGTTATCCTAATTAATGAGTGAGTCAAACGACAAATCTTAGAAACAATAAATAATTACATTAAAGAAAAAAATAATATAATGAAACACATCTCAAAATTTGTGTACTGAAGCTAGAGTAGTCTTTGGAGGAAAATTTCTCTTTCTGAACATTTGTATTAACTGGATAAATAAACTCATAACTTTAAATTTTTAGAAAAACCAACAAATTGATCATCTCTAAGTGAGTAAAAGAGAAGATATTTTGAAAACCAAACAAGAGATAAAGTAGGAAATGAAAATTATGAAGTTGATACAAAAACCAGATTTTTATTTTGTTTTTTAAAGACCCCCCCCCAAAATCAATAAACCATTAGCTAATTTGATTTTTAGAGAAAGGAAAAAAACAAATCATCAAAAAAAAGGAAAAATTCACAAATAGAAAAGAAATACATAAAATTATTAGGAACTACTACACCCAATTACATGTCAAGAAACTGAAAACTTAAGTGAAATAAATATTCATAAAAATCTAAAATGCTCAGATTAACAAAGCATGAAAGAAGAAAATCTCAAAAACTTCTCATAAAAAAATAGAGTAAGCCATAAATGAACTCCCAAAGGCAAAAGAAAAAACTCTCTGGTCCAGATGGATTTATAGGTTAATTCTCTCAAATATTTGAAGAATTACTCTTTATTATAATGTATTCTCAAAAATAAGGCAACACTTTGCCAAACTTTTACTACAATTTAAATATAGTACTGATACTCAAACCAAGAAAAGAAAAAAAAAGAAAAAACCATATAGGGATATGCTATATACCATATAAAACCATATGCTAGGGATTGTGCTAGGAAATGGGAATACAGAGGCAAAGATGAAACAACAATTCCTACCCTCAATGTATACACATTCAATTGAGGTTTAGAGATTAGGGGGAGACAACATATACATATACAAGCAAGTAAAAATATTTTAAAAATAAATACAAGAATTTTTTTTCCCCTGGGGAAAGCCTAACTGATAGTTGGGGATCAGAAAAGGTATTGTGTAGAAGGTATTACATGAGCTGAGCTTTGAAATAGAAGATTCTAAGAGGCAGAAGTGATGAAGGTGTGCGTTCTTAGCATGAGAGACAGGAAGGGCAAAGGCATGGGGATATGAGATATATGTGGAGAATACTAAGAAGGCTAGTTTGACGGGATCACAGGGTATCAAGAGGAGAGTAATATATAATAGAAACTAGAAAGGCAGATTTGAAGCCCAGTTTGTGAGGGTCTTTAAATGCCAAACAGAGAAGACAAAATCAATAAATAAGAGCTTCAATAAAGCAGCAAGATAAAAAATAAATCCATGCAAATCATCAGTTTCTCTGAATATTCCTTTAAAAAATCCAGGAGAAAGGGATAAGAAGAGACATTCCATGTAAGATAAACTAGATTAACTATCTGGGGAATGACCTACCAAGATGCATATAAGACCTACAAAAATAGCACTACTACACAATAATTATTATAAAAATAAAAGAATATCCTAATACTTAAAGAGATATTCAATACCTATGCTTGGGCCTCACAGATATAATAAAAATGATGTTACTAACCAATACACTACAGATTTAGTACTATAACAATCAAATTACCAAGGGAATTGTTAAAAAATAATATTTAGAGGATTCATTTGGAGGAATAAAAAATCAAGACTATCAAGGGACTCAGTGAAAAAGTAGAAAGGAGGGGCAGCTAGGTGGCGGAGTGGATAAAGCACTGGCCCTGGAGTCAGGAGGACCTGAGTTCAAATTTGGCCTCAGACGTATAAACTTACTAGCTATGTGACCCTGGGCAAGTCACTTAACCTCATTGCCTAGCCAAAAAAAAAAAAGTGGAAAGGAGGGTGGTTTTGTGCTACCAGGTCTCAAACTATAGAGAAGTATTATCAAAACTATCTGGTACTACCTAAAAAATGGAAGAGAAGAACAGCTGAATATGTACACAGTAGACTAGTATTTGATTGACCCAAGAACACATAATACTGGGGAAGTAACTATCTGACAAGAATTGCTGAGAAAACTGGGAAGCTGTCTGTCCCAAAACAGGCTTATCTCAGTATCTTATACTTTGTAGTATATTAACAGTTGAAATACAAAATGTCATACTATAAAAAAAATTTTGAGAAGAATAGAAAGTTATTATGGATAAGGGGAGAACTCTTAACAAGACTTAGGGAAGAAAAATTCCAGAAGACATGCTAAAGAGTCTTGAGAATACAAAACTAAAAAATTTTACGGTAATAAAATCAGAACAAAAAATAGATTGAGGAAAAAGTCTTTGAATTAAATATTTGATAAAAGCTGAAATTCCACAATTTATATATGGCCTTTGACATAAATATGAGAGATTAAAAGCTATGCCACAAGTAGTCAAAGATGAACAAACATTTTTCAAAAGAATAAAAACCATCAGCAGGCAACTGAAATGCTGTTCAGAATTAATGATAATTAAAAAAAATGCAAATGTAACCAAATCTAAAGTATCCTTTCATATCCCTTAAGCTAGCAATAATGCTAAAAGCTAAAAAAATTGAGGGAAAGTTGAAGATTTTTTAACCCATCTGCTGATTTTATTAGTGTAAGCAAGCAAGCTCTGAGCAAAGAATTCTTCCTACCACTGCAGAGTGGCATCTTGTCAATTTATAGTCTTAGAAAATAGCTGTTAAATGACTTGCCCATGATCACACAGGCAGGATGAATTAGGGATGGGCCTAGAAACCAGGTATTCCTGATTCCAAGATCAGCTCCATATCCTCTACCTTTCACTTTATAAGCCTATGTGAAGACTGGGACCTAATTCACTGTTGGGGCAATTGTGAATTGGTTCACTCATTCTGAAAAACAATTTGGACTTAATGCAGAAATAAGTTGTTTATACCCTTTACCCACTAATCCCACTACTAGGAATGCATCCCAAGGATATTATCAACAGTAAGATCCATAAGTATAAAGCTTTCCATATCGACCATTATTTGTGATAATCAATAGTTAGGAACAAAAATATGTGCTCAGCAATTGAGGAATACTGCAAAAAATTGTGAAATATGAATAGCTGATAGTTAATAATAATAGCTAAGATTTATATAGCAAAGAGGGTTTGCAAAGAGCTTTACATATACTATCTCATTTGAAAATAATGGATTTTACTGTGTCATAAGGAATGACAATATTTTAAGAATTCATGGAGACGCAGGAAGACTTGTATGAAGTAATGCGGAGTGAAGGAAGCAGATCCAAGAGAATTATACACATAATGACTTTAATAATGTAAATAAAATCAGCATTAGAAGACAGTAAAACTGGACAAAAACAAGGTTGATGTCATATCAAACTGTAAGTTAAAGATACCTCCCCCTCTTGGAGGTTACTAAACAACAAATTCTCGGCTAAAGTACTTTTGAGTACTGATTGAGAACTATCTGTTCAAAACAAAATTTATCTAAACTTTTTTTTAAACAGGAAAAATAGGACTCATAATTTTTAAACTGAGAACATTTAAACATGCTAATAGCTCATTTAATTGAAGATACCCTAAAATCTGCCCATAAGACCAATGAAAAGTTCTTATAATGATCTTACCCTCTTTTCTCTACGCTTGAGAAAAAAGGTACATGAAAATAGAAGAAGTGATTAAAACAGTATGGGGTACTTTAAAATGTTGAAGTAACTGTGGTAACATTTTGGGAAAATTTTACTTGTTTGGAAAGTTCAAATTCTAGAGCAACCAACTGGCTGGATCTGAGCTCAATACTATGGGGAAATCCTCAGAAGTCATGAGCTGAATGGCTCCCAGTCTTAGGGGAAAGCAGCTTTTTCAATTAAAAAAAATCTTAGTTCCTAATTGTTTAAACCGCTTGAAAGAGGTTTAATAGAAACAATAGTCAGGAACTCCTTAGTCTGGATATTTTGTCTTTTTCAGAAGGTATCAGAACATTTGATGAATAATCATTTCAGGAACACTAAAGAATTAACATGCTGAATTGCTAAAAGTGCTGATTTAAAATAATTTTCCCTCATGAATCCCAAGACCAAAAAAATGAAATCAGTACTCTTATAACAAAAAATCATTTCAGTATCAAGGAAGCTCTAAAAATCAATGTAATTTCCATACAAATCTCCAGTTAAAAAATACTTTACAACCCTGATAAAGCTAGGACAAAATTACATGTACATAATTATGAAAACTCCTCACCTCTCTTGCAGTTTCTTCAGTTTGTCAGGGTCTGCCTTTGTCTGATGACTCTCCTTTGCATTTGTGGAGTTAGAAGCTGCCATTCTATTTCCAGCTTCAATTTGGCTTGGTAAATCAGACACTGCAAAGAAAGTAAAAGGTATTTCCTCTTGTATTGGCTCTGACATATGCAGATGGCCTCTGAAGTTCATTCTTAATGGAGGAGAGCTGGGAGGATCCACCGAAGATGAGCCATCTTGTGAATTTTGTAAGACATCTTCACTTAGTAGAGCCTCAGGTGGCTGACTTGTTAAGTTCTTGTCTTCAATTTCCTTGACACAAAATGCAGATTCATTGGCTACCGGTGATGAAGTATCTTGGTTTTCAGAAGTGATAGATCGATTTCGACTTCTAATAGGCGATAAAGGTCGGTGAACATTAAACCTTGAGTTTCCTTCTGCATCTGAGCCCTGAAGGACAACAGAGGTCAAGGATAAGTTTGCCTGAACCTCAGCTCGCTGTGCAGAATGGAGTAATGATCTTGGGGTATTATAAGATGAATTCAGTAATGGTCTATGAGCTGCTGACCTATTAGGAGGAAAGCAATCAAAAGAATTCCTAGGACTGTTTCCATAGGATTGCCTATCTCTATTATAAGTATGGTTCCCAGGCCTAGTTTCCACAAAACTACAATCATTTGGTAAAGTCTCTATATTAAAACAACTGTTTTGTCTGTTTTCACCTTTCATACCCCATGAATTAAATGAGGTTTTCTCACCTTCGTCATCAATACAGTCATTTTCCTTAGTGGAATCGCCATCAGGGATTTTATGATCTCGAGGCAGCCTTTGTCCTAACAAGGATTGTTCAAGAGCTGAGTCCATCAAATTACTTTTTCTCAATGGGCAATGAGCAGCTTCATTTCTTTTTAATGGACTAGGTCTGCTATTTTCAAGGTCCTGTTCGGAGTTCTGGTTTTCAACCTGAGTTCCTATTATCCTACTAAATCCAATATTCTTGCTATTAAAAGAATATGGTGGTTGTATGCCAGCAAGTAGAAATTCTTCTTCTAAATGGGCAATATCTTCAGCATCTTCATTTCCTTCTATAGTATTAACTGTGTTTAATTCTAAAAAGGAGTAAAAGTCTTCATCTCTGAACCTAACTGATGCCCTTCTTGGTTGCACTGTGCTAGTAGATGTGAGGGATGGTACAATGGATTCACCCAATGTCTGGGAACCATTTGCTCCTTGGAAAGATGATGATACAGGTAAAGATGGCTGAGATGGGGAAAGAACAGTCCAGTCTTTGGAGACTTTTTCAGGTGTTTTTTGATCTACATTTAGTTGTGAAGATGGAACAAAGTTTCTTCTCTCTCGAGTTTGCCTCTTCATCTTAGAATCATTCGACCACACATCTTGTTGCATTACTGAATCTATAATGGAAGGAAGACCAAATCATATTTTTTCAAAGTTGATTTTGAGTTAGTGACCTTTTTTTTCTTAAGAAAAAAATACAAAAGACTTTTGCATTTTCATGTGATCCTTGGAAAATAAATGTCTGAAGAATACATATAGTAAAAATGGCATTGGGAAGACAGGTCTAATACATGGTTGTCTGACCATACTATAGATGCTATGACATTTCTGTATTTATGAAGGGTGGAGCAATGCATGCAGATAGAAAATTTTGAGTGCTCCTAGCTATACCTTTAGAGTTGTTAGGCATGGAGGTTAATTCCAGTGTAGTAATATTAATAGTATCTGATAAATATAATCACTTTAAATATACTATCTCACTTGAGCCTTAAAAACAATCTTGTGAGATAAATACAATAGGTATTATTATTCCCATTTTACCAATGAGGACACTAAGGCTAAGAGAGGTTAACTTGTCCATGGTCATCACACAGCTAATAAATTTTAGAGATGGAATTTGATCTCAGGTCTTTATGATTGTGATAGGAGCATCAGTTTCCTGACACAACTTCCCTGGCACAGCTTCCTCTCTCTATGCAACCTGATTGGCCCCAGCTTCCCTATATGGCTTCCTGGTCTGGGGGAATAATATGTCCCAAGCTGCATGTAGCTGGGCTATCTCAGACTTGGTAGGTATCTGAGATCATGCAAGTTGCCACATCCTGATGCCATTGTATCCTTGTTGTATATCCTTACTGTGTTAGGGCAAAGCCAACAACACCTTCAGAGTGACGTGGTGTGTGGATGCCTCTCCCATCCCAATGTCCAACTTCAACTATGAGGGTACTGGCTTTAGAACCTCACCTACAATACCCACTCCAAGTCCAGCACTCTGGTGATTAGGCCATTGCTTCCCTTAGTCCAGAGTAGTCAAAAAAGCCAAGCCAATCCCAGGCTAGCCCAGGCTTTGTGTAAGCAAGAGGGGACTACACACAGGATGACAGGCAAACTTCTCAGTACTGGACATTCCAGTACTTACTAGAAAGAAACGTCCTCTCCAGGGAATGCCATCCACCCAAACCACCTGTATTGTCTCAGGTGTTACCTGGACCTGAATTTCTTAAATAACTTCTCTGCACAGCAGTGTGAAGGGACAAAAAGTAGAAAACCTAGTCCCTGTCTTCCAGAAGCTTCCAACCAAGATGGGATATCATACAAACATATAATAAACAGCAACATGATATAAGTTAATTATAGATAGTAAATACAAATCGAACTTAAATGCTATGGAACGTAAGGTATGACCAGAATCTACGTGTGGGGAAATCAGTTAAAAAAAAAAACCTTCTGGAAGACTGTGTCTAACGTGCTGATAATTTGAGAATGTTGGATGCAAACAAAAATCATTTTAAAGCCCTACAGTGGAAAATAACAATATTAATAATGATAATAACTCACATTTATATAGCATTTTATAGCCCACAAAGTTGCTCCCTCACAGCAACACTGTGAGGCAAATAGTTCAAGTATTAGTGCATACATTTGACACACAATGCTTGGTCCCCAGAAACACTGAGAGCTCTGACTCTGGAGCCCTTGCTTTTCCTAGGTTCTATGGGGGTTGTTTTCAGCAACGATTTTTACAGAGCACAGCCCAAATCCTCAGCAATGCAATAGTCTTTATTTATACTACATGCAAAGCACAAGTCCAATAACCAAGGCATTTAATTAGACATAAAGCAAGATAAATAGGGGGAAATAAAACCATTTTCTGTTCTCATACGCTAGTAGGTGTGATTCCTTTAAAGGTTATATGGAGGTTGTGATCTAATTCCTCCAATGTCCCTAGCTTCTCAATACAGAAAAGAAGCAGGGTCACTTCAGAGCCCATAGCACTATGGTAAAAACGTAGAGTTCAGTTATCATCTGAATCAGAAGCTGCAGGTCTGCAGAAACCTCTTCTGGCACACTAGAATTTGCTGAAACCTCTTAGGTTCCCGTGTCATCAGGATTCCACTGGAACTCCTAGATTCCCTATGCTCTAGGGACTCTTAGACCATGGCAACAGCCCCCTAGGTGTTCCCCCTTCTATCTCTTTAACCTGACCATAGCTCTCAGCTTGCTTTTCTGGCAACCCCTGCATTTTTATTTCTATCTCCCTTCCACACGGTCAGCTCTCTCATATTTCTTTTTCCCCCCCAAGATCTATAAGCCTTCATTTTGGCAAAGTCTCCTAGGATTCCGATATCCTGAAGCTTCTCCCCAGTAAACAAGTAAGTAGTTCCTTTGCCATACCCATTATGAGGTGGAGGTGATGATGGTAGCAGTAATAGCCTTTATATAGCATTTTAAGGTTTATAAAATTCTTTACATATGTTATTTCATTTGATTTTCAAAACAATCTTATTAGGTAGGTGCTGTTATTATCCCCATTTTACAGATGAGGAAATTGAGGCTGAGAAGTTGAGTGACTTATCACATAGCAAGCGACTCAGGCAGGGTTTGAATTCAGGTCTTCCTGACTCCAAGTCCAACAATCTTAAAGCTGTGATGAAGAACTCTATGATAAAACACAACACTTGCCCCAATTACATAAAAATGAGACAACTGTGTTTCTGAGAGTTCTGCCTAAGACTGTGCACAAAGCCTAAGTGTTAGAGCCAATACTTAAATTCAGTGTTTCTGAATTTGTAATTTCTGAATTACAAGGATTACAAACACTAGCATTTCTACCACATCAGGCTGCCTCTCTAAATGATAAAATACACATGAATAACTATAAAACAAAAATGCAAATATTTTATCATATAATCATTAGCTTATTTGCAATTCTGACCTACCAGAAAATGATACAGAAGGAAATGATACAGAATTAGAAGGAAAGGACAGAAAGAGGACATAAGTAAAGTGGTCCAGTTGGTAAAGGCTTGCAAAGCTTTTGAGGATCAGGATTTCAACTGACAAAGTCACTTAGATAAAATCTACCCTTGTTATCAAAATCTACCCTAGCTAGCACCTCAATTTCATTGTGAAAATAGAATACTCTTAAATCAGTATTGTTATCATTTAAATCTCTCACTGTGGATGAAAAATAGGAAGCTCTTTCATCCCTACTTCTCCATTTCCTGTTACCCATCTGCTTTCCTAAAATCTCCTGCCTCCCTCCTTTCTTCCTTCTTCATGCGCACAGTGCAAGACGTGATTATGTTGTTGACTTTTTTTCACCCTCAATTACTTCCTTTTATTACTGCACATTTTCTATTGTGGCTCAGCCTATAACAAGTAACAAGTCTGTATACTGAACTGAAAAGCACTCTGACATGATAAAAGTTAAACCTGATGAAATCCAAATAGCCAGAGCATCCTATATCCCTAAGGTTCAAATCAATATTGTGTTACTTTACATGGTGCAAGAGGCCCAGAGAGCACAGAGATGGATATCTAATATCCTCAGATTTGCCATCCTTCTTTCACTGTTAAATGCACAGGACACTCAGCAACATGGCACAGACCTTTGCTCCTCTAGGAACTGATTATGCTTTTTAACTGGTTACTTACAAGGACTTAAGAATTAAATTCATAAATCACATTAAAGGGTACGTTAGCAATTTCAGGAGTGCAATTAGCACTTGCTGGTCTATAAACTTGAGGACAAGCTGATCAGTTTTTCTAGAAACAAATGCTCCTGCTTGACCAATATGCATCTTTCAATGATTCTTTTGAGTAAGAAGTTGATGAGGGAATCAAGAAGGCAGATCATACTTATTTTTATTTTAAAATGGCATCAAGAATCTTGGAAAGAGATTTGCAACAGTACTGGAACTCAGATCTTCTACTTACCCCCTGAAAACATAAAAGCAAGGCTGATATTGTTTAAAAGCTCCCTCTCATTGTCTGACCATTGGAGTTCAGTTCCTCTGACCAGCTCAGTGGAGTCTACCAACAAGCAAGAGTATCAGGTGTGGCAGCTTCTGAAATACAGCAGCTAGAACAAGATGGTCACTTCCCAAAGGCCACTGAGCTGTCACTACACAGAAATGACTCTGAGATTGGAGGAATCTCAGCCTGAACTACAGCTAAGATGATAAAATAATCTGCTTTTCCCTGTTGATCCTCTGAACTACTCAGGCAGCTTCCCCACTACCTCTTCCTAACCTCCCTACTTTGTCACTTTCTCAGAAGTATTGGTTTATTGCTTTCATGGTTTAAAAAGAAGCAGAATTATCCTCTCTGCTATACTCACACAACTCAAAGGCACAATTTCTGTACTCTGATCCCTGAATCCATAAAAATGGAAACCACACAAATATTAGTAGACCCTGGAATAAGGGTTATGGGATATCCACCTTGATCTAAATCAAACTGTGTGTTATGTACCTAGTGGGAATTCAGAACATGCTTAGAGAGTGATCTTCTGCAAGTCTCTAAAGACCCTAGCTGTGTTAGAACGTAAGCTCATTGTTGTTGTTGTTGAGGAGTTTCAGTCATGTCCGTGACCCCATCTGGGGTTTTCTTGGCAGAGGTACTGTCCTTTCTTTCTCCAGCTCATTTTACAAATGAAGAACTGAGGAAAACAGGGTTAAGTGACTTGCCCAGGGTCATATTTAGTAAGTTTTGGAGGCTGAATTTGAACTAAGGCCCTCCTGACTCCAGGGCCAGCACTACCCACTGAGTCACTTAGCTGCACGTGGGGATTATTTCATTCTTAGCATTTGTAGCCTCAGTGCCTCACACAGTTCCAGGCACGTAGTAGGTACTTAATAAATTCTTGTGGATGGTTTGATTGCAGTTTCTTTCATACCCAAAAGGAGCTTCAGGTGCCAAAAAACAAAAAGAATATATTTGTTCAACATTCCTTTCACCTGGGGTCCTTCATTTGTTTTTACCAATTGTCCTCTTGCATTCATACGCCTTTTTTTCTTTTATAGTTAATCTCACATATCTATTCCTCACCTCAGCCAAATGGATTTCCAATTTCATTGGGCCATCTAAAGGGCTAAAAGGAGAAATCAAGGTGGGGACACTGGGGAGCTGAGTAGCACAGGTAAGGAACCCTGGAGGATGTCAGAAGGAATAAGAAGAAACCTCAAAGGACCTTGGAGGACAAAAGACAAGAGTAAATGAGACCTTTAGGGGAGTTCAGGAAAGAGCTACATTCTCTGAAAGTAAGCATTCATTGAAGGTTCATAGAAGACTAAGAGGGTCATAGTGGGAATTCTGGACTATATATATATATTTTTTTATTGTCCCTAATTCCAAATAACCAAATGGTCTATTCAATTGTTAACATTTAAAACTTCATACGGGGCATGTGGCCTCAAAACTAAGGTTATGTGTATGTCTATAGTCACTTGGCCTCTCTGGGCCTCAGTTTCCTCATTAGCAAAATGAGGGCACTGGATTAGATGATCTCCAAGGTACAGCTAACTTTAAATTTTAGCCTAAGGCCTAAAGTCAGAGAACAGGTTAGTAGCTAAGATAACTACGGTGACTCACTTTTTGTCAGCTAGAGCGGGTTCTTAAAGGTACCTGCTCTTCTCCTGTTTTACTGCAGTAAGGCAGTACACCTTGAGGTCTTTGACTGGGGTCTTTTAATTCCAAAGAAGAGAAAAAAAAACAGGAGGTGTCCAAAGAGACTGATATAGATGGACAGGGAACTCACTAACAAAAGTGGACTTTAAAAAGAAACATGGAAGCTACAAGCAAGGGGAGGAAATTGAGGATGAATTTGAGCATGGCACGGTCCTTCACAAATCTCATCAGAAGTACTACATCCCAGAATGGCCTGAGTCTAGCTAGAGAAGTGAAGGATGAAAAAAGGCATTAAAAAAGGAAGCACACAGTGAGAAAAAGGAGGTCCAAATAAAGGACAGGATCACTGCTCCAGGAGGATGGATGAGATGATAACTGACAACGGAGAGAATGGAAAGCTGCTCGATTCTTATATTGCTTCTGCTTTCTCTACCAAGCAGAATGACTTGTCTATTGGAAATGAACAAAAAATGTCTAAAAAGGAGTTGGTAACCAAACCAGTAATGAATTAGTAAGAGAAAACATCTAGTTACCCTTGAGGAATTCAGGTTACCTGAAGCAGATGCAAACTCAAATAGAAATGGGGGCCACTAATGTGTAGATAAGGATCCCTGCAGGCCACATATAAAATTCAGTTTTAAAATGTAATATTTTCCATACTTTATTATATTTTTATTGATTTTTATTAATCATATCCCAATAACATTTTAATCTACTTTGGGCAGCACTCAGGAAGTATTGCTGGTTGCGTGTTTTGACACATATGAACCACATTCTCAGGTACTGAAAGAACTTGCAGGTGTGACTGCAGTGCTACTGACAGTAATATTTAAAATATCATGAAAAACAAGAGTTATACCATGCGATGAGAAGTGTAAATGTATTAATTTTTTTTTAATGGAAGAGGAAATTCTGTAAACAATAGGTCAGTGACCTGATGTAATTCCTGGGAAAGAGATGGGTAGTAAAGGGAAGTAAGAACAAGTCATTCCAGACAAACCTTATTTTCGTTTTTGGAAAGGTTATGAAATTGGTAGATCAGGAGATATAGTTTACTTAGATTTTTGCCCAAAAAGTGATCAAAAATCCCACTGCTATTCTTGTGGAGAAGATGAGGAGATGTGGGCTAGACAACCATAAATTATATAAGATTCAAAACAGACTGAATGGTTGGATTCAAAGTTTAGTTGTTAATAGTTCAGCATCGATATGTCTGTAGTAGAATGTCCCAGGGGTTTGTGCTTGGCCTTGTGCTGTTTAACATTTTAAACAATGACTTGGTAAAGACACAGCTGGAATACTCATCATATCTGTAGATGACACTAAGGGGGAAGGGATGGCTAATATCCTGGATGACAGAGTGAGGATCCCAAAAGATCTGGACAGGCTAGGACATTTGGCTGAATTTAAGATGAAATTCAATAGTGATGAATGGAAATTCTTACTCTTGTAGAAAGAAAAATCAACTTTACAAGTATAGTATGGAGAAGGAGTGGTTAGCAGTTTGTCTGGGGGTTTTAATGGACTGCAAACTCTTTATGACCAATTGGCGTGATGTCTCATCCCCCAAAACTAATGGAATCTTGGGCTGCGTTGGAGGCATAACTTCCAAGAATAAGGAGGTAAGATAATCCATCTGCACTCTGCCCTAGTGAGACTACATCTGAAGAATATCGTGCTCTGGGTGCCACTGTTTTAAAAAGGCATTGGCAAGGGGCAGCTAGGTGGTACAGTGGATAGAGCACTGGCCCTGAAGTCAGGAGGACCTGAGCTCAAATCCGGCCTCAGACCAAACACCTGACACTTACTAGCTATGTGAACCTGGGCAAGTCACTTAACCCCAATTGCCTCCCCCCCTAAAAAAAAAGGTATTGGCAAGATAGAGAGTATCCCAAGATGTGTGGCCAAGATGGTAAAAGACTCTGAGACTATGTCATATGAGGATCAGTGGAAGGAATAGGGGATTGTTTAGCCTGGAAAAGAAAAGACTCAGGGGAGATATGACATAAAGTATTTCATGTGCTATCATGTAAATGAGGGTTTTAGATTTGTTCTCCTTGGCTGTAGAAGGTAAAACCAGGAGCAATGGGTAGAAGTCACAGAGAAGAAAATTTAAGTTTGTTGTGAGGAAAAAAAATTTCTAATAATTTGAACTGTCTTAAGGTGGAATGGACTCCTTCTGGTTAGAGGTATCCAAGCAGAGGCTGGATGACCACTTTTCTTGTATGTCACACTGGGGATTCCTTTCAGTTATGGGTTGGACTAGAGGGCAACTGAGTTCCCTTCCATCTCTCAAGTTCTGTGATTCTTAGGACTAGAACTAAGAAACTCAAGGGAGCCACCTAACTGTTTTTTTTAATTTTATTTTTAAGTATAGCTAGTGATAGAATTTGTTCATTTTGATATCTAGTCTGATGAATTAAAATCAGGATAGTGATGGTTTTGTTATTTGGATAGAAAGAAAGGAGAATAACTCCAAGGAGCCAGGAATGTTCTGTTATTCAGAGAAAAACTTAATACACCTGCTGTATGCATCCTTTTGGGGCACACAGTAGTAGTTTTAGACAAATGAGAAAGCACTGTCACCACGTTCCCAATGGTCTCCCAAATGGTAACGTTGCACTGCTCTCGTTAGAGGCTATGTGGTACCTACATACCTAAAGCTGTGCTGGGCCTTGCCTTGTGTGGTGTTTGTTAAGTACTTACTATGTGTCAAGCACTGTGTGGTTGACAAGCACTTGAGGCTACAAGTAAAAAGAAAGACAGCCCCTGCTCTCAAGGAGCTTACATTCTAAGGGAGGAAGACATTTCCACTAAAGGGAGCTGAAAAGTGTGTGGGAGGGAAGGTATCCGTGCTGCGGGGCCCTAAGCAGAGCTGGAGGGGAATGAATATATAATTCTTGTTCACTCCTCAGCAAGCATGTTACTTTATCTCCTCCATTCCCACTGACCTCACACAGAGTGGAAAGCCACATCTTGGAGTTGCAGCTACTAACGTGAAACATGTAAAAGGTTCTAATGATGTGCTATCCCTTACTCAACACTCAGGGATCTAAAAATAAAAAAGAATTTTTAGCACAGCCTCACTGCAGCTAAACTGCCACCAACCAAGGGGAGACTCAGGGCAAGTTGCTTAGTCTGAGCATCTGTTTCTCTTTCTGCAAGATGAGAGAGTTGGGGTAGGTGATCCCCAAGGTCTCGGATTATGTGATTGTGTTAACAGAGTAACATGGTTACCTGGTCCTCTGGGAGTTTGCTCTTTTCCCTGCAGCAATGAGATCTGCCTGCTTCTATCTCCAGATGGTCTTCTCTGCACTTCTGGGCTTACTGTCAATCTCCCCAGGTTGGGCCTCTTCTTCCTTGATAATATCTGTGCCTGTGCTGCTGATAAGTGAAAAATCTTTTCAATAATCAAACCATTTCCCTGCCCCAAGAAAACATCTCCTCCCATTTAAAAAAATAATGCCTCCTGAATAAACCCTATGTGACACAATCCTCCCCACAAACCATCAAAACTAAATTCTGAATGTGACAGGAGTTTTCTAATATTCACTTAATATGTGCTCATGGAAGTTTGTTTTGTTGACATCATAAAGAACTGCCTATAATTCATACTTTAAGTGGCACGGTTTCTGAGTATCCTCTAAGTTTGAACTGAGTGCTGCTTTGAGTTTGATACATTGAACATTTCTTACATTGAGCATCTATTTGTGCTTTCAAGTTGGTCAAATCAGCCTTACCAAGAGATTCCAAACATTTTTTAATTGCCTATAACCTGTCTATCACCTCTTCCTGATACCATTAATCTAAGGTGATACTCTGATAAAAAGAAACACAATACAGGTGACATGGGTTTTATTTTCAATTATTGTTTTTTCTTACATTTCTATGACCTGATTTCTTTTGGTTTTGCCTTTTGGGTTAGTTTGCTAATTGATGTAGGTCATTTTGTTTGGATGATGGAAAATACAATGCACCATATACATTTATTAAAATCATTATTTCTTTAAAATTTGAGATCATTTTCATGCATTTCTTCCAGAGTTCTTGAATTCATGAGGCAATAAAATCTGACAATCTAGGCTAAAGGACACAAGAATATGCACAGACATTATCTACTGGGTGGCTGCTATGCTTTAACAGCAAAGTAAGGCATAAATGAAAGGCAAACTGGAATTATTTGTGGGGACTATTAATGAACTCTCATGGAAGCTGGAAACTAATTGCAGTCGTATTTGAGAAGGTGTACGGTATGATTTGCATGTACAATTTTCAGCTAGAATTTGGAAAAGGAATAAAAATGCTGAAGAAAAAGTTTGCTTAGAATCCTAGAATACTTCATTGGTTAAGTGTTATAATATCACATACATAAACACAGGGCCCAAGGAATACTATTGCTTCTTGGTTTAAGGTAATTAAGTGGTTGAATCTATGCCAAGTCCCTCTGAACATGCTTTAGTAGAATTAGGATTGTCAGTACTGTCAGGTCTAGCCTAAGAAAAAGGATAGCGGAGCCAGGATATGGACATGACCAGGGAATAGAAGGGAATGACATTTTCCTAGAAAATATAAATATAAATATTCCGAGGCTATATTAGTGAGTAAGAACGACTTATTGAGCAAGAAATAGAAGGAAATAGTGGGTTACATTAAGGGAAAAAAGTATTGATGGGGGATATTTTGATAGCTTTTTCTGGAAGAAAAGGAAGTTGAAATCCTCTAAAATCTAGAGGATATCTTGTTCCAGTATAATTTAATAAGGCTTTTCTAGTTATTTCCATCTCCTGAGCACTCTGAATACATAAATAAATTGCCTCCTTTGTTTCCTTCTGACAGTCATGAGGAAACAGTAGTATCTTCCTTTCAGAAAGAACACAAAGGCACTGAACAGGAAGCAGCCCAGGATGAAAGCAAGCCAAAGCCAGGAACTGGGTCCCTTCTCTTTCAGGAAACCCAATGGAACACTGAATACCAACACAGCCAGCATTCTCCAGACCAGTCAGGAAAATTTCCTCGCAGTCTTACACATAGATGAGATTGATTTCTGCCTCTGTGTCTCTGTTCTTCCTAGAGGCCCTCCCTTCTAATGTTTTTTTTTGGCTTCTCTGAATTCTATTCATCCATCAAGGTCCAGCTTATGACCCACCTCCCTCAATGAAGGCTTCTTTGACTTTTCTAATACTGATCATTTCATTTTGTAAATATTATTATATTTGTGAATATTATCAGATCCATTACTGTAAATATAGTGCAGAATCTGGGACTTAATTGTTCTCAAATTGTTTCATGTGCCTTCCCAGCCAGGTTATTAATTCCTTCACAACAGGATTCATTTCTTGCACCTAGGATCATAGATTTATAGCTTGAAGGATACAATTTAGGTGCATTTAGAGCTGGTGGTTTTCTAGTTCAACCTCCTTATTTCACAGATTATAAAACTGGCCCAGAGCTATTAAGTGATTTACCCAGGTTCATATTGGTAGAAAGCATCAGGGTCAGAATTTGAATCCAGGTCCCCTGACTCCACCTCCAATGTTCTTTCTACTTATTTTGAATTCTCCAAATTGCCTAGCACAATGTTCAGCAAACAGGAGATACTTAAACAACTGCCTGATTAATTGAGAGAATAGAAAAACATATTCACAGTAATAGTATTTCAGAGATGGAAGGAATTTTGTAATCTCATCTAATCAACTCATGTTATAGATCAGGAAATGGAGGCTCAGAGAGGTTAAATATAGTAACTTGCTCAAGGTGAAGTTGCAAAGCAATGATGACTAGAACTTGGGTCATCTGACTTCTAGACCCAGTGTTGTTTTCATACTGCCTTTTATATCCCTAGGCATTTTTACTTTTAAAAATTGCTCCAAACACCATTTTTGAAACTACTGGTGGATAAATGTTATTTAAGGTTGATTTTTCAAAAGTTACATTTTCAATAATTCAGCTGAAATTACCTGGGATTCTAGCACTAGAACCGTATTATGCAAAGCACCTGAAATTTAAGATCATCTTACTTCTTGTCCTCGGTTTAAAAAAAAAAGAAGCAAAACAAAACCAAAACCGAAACAAACTAACAACTTCCTCAACATAGTCTTTCTCTAACACTTCCTCAACATAGTAGGTCTCTTAACCCCTGACAGTTGAAGAAGAATAGAGCACTGGGCTTAGAGTCAGGAAGATGGGAATTCAAATCCAGCCTCAGATACTTGCTAGCTACAGCTAGCAAGATTTGAATTCCCATCTTCCTGACTCTAAGCGCAGTGCTCTATCCACTGCACCACTTAGCTGTCCCATGACTGGTTCCATAACCAAGTAATAAATATAAGGAGAATAATTGTTTTTGTTGGTTTTCATTCACTCAACAAATCTTAATTGAGCACATTTTAAGTGCAGGACTAGTTGTGTTAGTTCTACTGTGAGAGGCATAGAGACATAAAATGTGGGGTTCATCTGAGCTCTGAAAGAGCTTACAATCTAATTTGTTTGTCTGGCTCATCTAATCTTATAATACCATGACTAATCTTTCAAAACAGGCAACCTTATTCAAAAATACCAGCACCTTTTTCAGACTGGATAAAGGTCAGAGAGTTTCAATTATTATCCCCATGCAGACGTCTGTCAAAGTTATCTTTCTACCCCTAACCACTTTGAAAAACTCCAGCCCTCTGCTTCCAACTGCCTGCTGAAATCCATCTAATGGATGGCCTAATGGCATGTCAAACTCAAACATATTTAAGATGAGCTCATCATCTTGCCTACCATTTGTTCATTTTTGTCGATGGTACTGTCCTCTTCCCACTCTAATCATGGAGTCATGTTCCTGTCTTCTCCCTCGCTTCATATGCACCAATTGTCAAGTCCTGTTGAGTCTATCTTCATACATCTTCATCTCTTCCTTGGCCTTTGTAATAGTCTCCTAACTGGTCTTCCTGTGCCCTATTCCCTGTCTGATCTACTTAGGTTAGAGAGCTTGACCTCAATTCCTGACAATATTCTAGAGCTATTATTAAAGGGGTGATTTGTAAGGATTTAGAAAAGGAAAGAGAAAGATCACATAGTCCACATGACTTCATCAATAACTGGTCATGCCACACTGTTTTTCCTCTTTGCATAGTTACTAAGATAGTACATTAAGGGAATGCTACAGATACAGCTTACCTACTTTTAGGTGTTTTAAGTATTTGATAAAGTTTCTCTTACCTTTCCTGTGGAAAAGATGAAGAGATGTGGACTAAATTACAGGACAATTAGGGGGATGCAGACCTGGTTGAATAGCCTGACTGGAAGTGTATTCATTACCACTTTGATGTACACTGGGAAAAGGTTGTTAGCAGAGTGTCCAAGGGATCTATGCTTGTCCCTATGCTGACATTTTTATTAATGACTTGGATAAAGGTATAAAAGGCAGACTTATCAAGTTTGCAGAGGACATAGATGGGAAGAATAGGTAATATGTTGCATGATAGAGTCAAGATTCAAAGAAGATCTTGACAGACTAGAAAATTTGAATTGAATTGAATAAGATTAGATTGATTAGGGTTAAAGACATAGTCTTACTTCTGGTTTTTTAAAAATCAACATTACAAGTACAAGATAAAGCATAGTTAGACAACAGATCTGAAAAAGACTAGGGAGTTGTCATGAACTGAAAACTTAATAGGAGTCAACAGCAGTGATATGACAGCCCCCTAAAACAAATTCAGTCTTAAGGTTGTATTCTTGTTCTCATTTCTATTTTGTCTCATTTTGTTCACATTGTCTTGGATACATGGGTTGCTTAACAACCAGGATTAGGGAAGTGATGGTCCTGGGGTACTCTGCCCTGGTCAGAACACATCTGTGGTACTGTGTTCAGTTCTGGCTCCACATTTCAAGAAGTACATTGACAAGCTAGAAGAGCTTCCAATGGCAACTAGGAGGGTGAAGAGCCTTGTGTTCATGCTACATGAGTTCCATGAAAAGAACTGGGGATGTCTAGGCTGCAGAATATTGGGGCAGGGGTGGATGAGATTAGGGAAGACAGTTGCTTTAAGTATTTGAAGGGGTGGTGCATGGAAGAGGGAAGACAATTATTTTGTTTGTTTCCAGAGGACAGAACTTAGAGCAGTTGATGGAAGTTTCAAAGAAGCAAACTAAGATTTGATGTCATGCAAGACTTCCTAACAGGAAAAATAGTTCAAAAGTGGAAGACCATTTGTCTTCCTCAGGTGGTAGTATTCTCTCACCAGAGGTCTTCAAGCAAAGCCCAGATAACTTGTCAGGTATATTGTAGAAAGAATCCTCTTTCAGGGAGGGAATGGTATAGAATGCTATTGAGTTCTCCTTCCACCTTTTAAGTTCTGCAATACCCTTGACAGCTCTGCCTAATGTTCCCAACACAC